TGAGGCTGTCTTTAAATCATTTTAGAACCTGATGAGGACCTGATGATTTTCTTGGTTATGTTCTGATATAATGTTTAGATGTATAAAATTAAAAAGGGTGCACTTTTTTAAAAAATAAGATGACTGTATGGTAAGTGTTGGTGTTTGCTGTTCCCACTAGGCGGCACTGAAGCTCACACTTCCAGTTCTACATATAGTGGCTTTAATGCTGCATTCCTCACGTGGAACATTTATCAGATAATATAAAATCAAAATGATCCCATGTTATATATTACGCACTATAAGTTAATTTAAAAATAATTAATACATTCGGGATTTATGGTTTCAAATAATCACAATCACAAGAAGAAATTGACTTAAATACTAACGTTGATCTTTTTTTTTCTTCTTGTTTTTGTAAATTTAACAGCTAATTTTAATGTTTACCAAAAATAAAAAATGAAAAAAAATGCGGCATTTTTAACTGCGAATACGTTTGTGTTTAATCTCGTTTGGCTTGGCCAGTAAGACATGTTTAAAAAAAATGTCTGCTGACATCACTCAGTGACTCAGTGCTTCGGGAGCCGAGAAGGAGCATGCCGAGTGGAATTATCCCATCAAGAGTCACATGATATGGCAATTTGATTTCAATAACAGAGACACTGTGTTGTCCTTTCGCCCTAGCGCTATGGTATACTACATAATGGCCTAAATAAGATGTAATATCACATTTAGAAGCTCTTAACAGCGGATATCACCGTTGATCGCCAATTTACAAGTACGAGTCGGAAATCTCACATGCTAGTTCAAAATAATCGTGTAATACTAGCTTGGAGGACACTAAGTTCGGCCAAAAATAGTTATATTTGTTTTGGCCTTCTTTCAGTATTGTTTTACTTTCACTTTCTTGGAATAGGCCTATCCTAAGTGCGACTTTTGGTAAACAATAAAAAGTTACCAGTAACTTAAAACGAACACGGACGAGCTTTAACCTCAACCAAACTGCGTCACACCAAACGTCAACCGAGTTTAAAGGTTTTAACTCACCTGCTGGCAACTCGAGAACTAAACACAGCCTGCCTGTTCGCGCTGACAATACATAGGCAGTATCGCAAAGGTGGCTGTGTATGTCGAGTAATATTGCTCTTCTAGTTAGCAGGGGCGTTGAGCGACGATACAGAAAAAACGATCTTTGCTTCCGGTTGTTCCTTTCAAAGTAAACTCATTAACTGGCGCAGTACTGATAAACAATGCATTTTTATGTTTGTTGATTTATATCGAATAAATTAACTTTCTGCGTTTTGCGTTATCAGTGATAATCGAGTAATAGCTCATTATTATTATTATTATTATTATTATCATTATTATTATTATTATTATTACGTTTTGTTGAATTATTATGCTTGCTATTTAGTTTATTTTGTTTTTAGGTATTTTTAACTAATTTATTGGTTATTTTTATGGATTACATTTTTTTAGAATCTATGATTATCTCAGTAAATTGGTACCAGCATGCATATATGCCTAGTTCTTGGTTTGCTTTCTTGCAAAAATAAATCATTGAAAGGCCAAGATTTTGACTGGAAATTTACTTTGTGTGCATATGCACCTAGATCACATCAGTGACTCTTTTGATCAAGAGCTTTGTTTTGATTTGTGACAAATAACAACTACAGAGCAATTATAGTGACAGTGTAGTTATCAGTTTAAAATAATATAAAAATAACATTTTCCACTAATGGGGGTTTCAAACAGTAAAGACTTAATTCAACGATTCATCTGAAGTTTATTTTAATAAGCAGTAGATGAATCTGCTAAACCGCAAGACAAAATCAAAGAAACAAAACAACAAACAAAACAAACAAATCCGCAATTGCTACAAGCACTGCAACATCTGCTGAAATTGAAATTCCTCCACCTAAAAATAAATAATGTCTTTATAAAATTAAATTCATCAGAGGAAAACCATCATCTTGCGCTGGAATTTAATAAGGCTTATTTCATTAGCCTTATTTAATTTCATTACTATATTCATTAAACTGTATTGTGTGTAGCTATTTTCACTTCTATTTATCATATTAAAAGACTACAGTGATTATTTGTTCTTTCTGAAGTCCTTAGCTTTTGATATTTGTTTTTAGGGCAATCTTAATTCATTCTTAATTCATTCAGAACGCTTTGCTTTTATTTTGAAAGCCATACTTCCTTTCTAAGTCGGTCTAATTTTCGACAACTCGACACCGAGTTCACTTGTGCGGAGTTTACGGACGGTTTTCATTTCCTCGTAGTGACGTCACGGGGCAGAGGACCGATCTGAGAACAAAGAGCGCCTGCGCGTAAGCAGCGCCGCCGCGGCACGGGTCCGCATTTTTTACACATCGGCAAGAGGCTGACATGTGTGGGGGCGGGGCTAGACCATCAGCTGTTAGCGGGAATTCCCCCTCAGGAGTCACCTTACACTTGCAAACAGGAAAGGAAGGACTGGAGATTCCCTCTGATGTCAGCTTTGAATGATAAATGGCGACGACAGTGTAACTGATTCCGATGGGATATCTGTCAATACTGTAGCATAGAACACTCAGAGGCTACTGTAGTAAAATACAATGGAATGTCCGAGAAACACCATTTCTGCTCTTGTTTGTGCAGCTACAGCTATACGTTTATATATACAGTTATACTTACTTTCCACTAGATGGCAGTCTTATTCAAGAGCAATCTACTGATGTTTATGTTCAGGTTAGTTTAAACCAGGGGTAGGCAACTCCAGGCCTCGAGTGCCGGTGTCCTGCAGGTTTTCGAGTGTCCTTGATCCAACACAGCTGATTCAAATGGCTAAATTACCTCCTCAACATGTCTTGAAGTTCTCCAGAGGCCTGGGAATGAACTATAACACACCTAAATCAATGATTTGATTTAGGTGTGTTGACACAGGGTGATGTCTAAAACCTGCACTTGAGGCCTGGAGTTGCCTACCCCTGGTTTAAAGCAATCAGAGATGGTCACTGTACTTACTGGAGGTTGAGCTTAGAACTGTATGGAAGACTGTTAAAGTGGTTATAGTTGAGGAACTGAAAGTGATTATTAATCTTTACTATGATCTTATTTATTTATTTTATTTATTTATTTTAGAAAGAGGGGCAATAGATATTAATGAACATTTTAACAAATGTAAATATGCCAGATTATAGCCTTGGGCTAATTTCCATCTGCAGACCCTCTGGCAGGTTGGTGTTAAACACAAGTTAGTAAAAACATACAGAGACACTATTTACAGGTCATGTGACAAGGACAAAAACAGTGATCACATTATACTAGAACAAACAATGACAAGGAGAGTGGACACAGAGGACAGTATAGATAACAATAACGGAAACACATCAATTATATTGCACAAACCCCAGTATTGTACATGCCCTGACCATCGTGATATTGTGTTCACCCATTGCACTAACAGTTGTTTCCCTTTTTGTAATACACTAACTCTTTTTCCCATCCAATATAAAACATGATTTTTAAACATGATTACATGTTTGTGTGTCCCTCAGCCGCCCTTTTAAGTGACTCTTAAAGATGGGTAGACTTGTACTTTCCCTCACTGACAGTGGAAGACTATTCCAGAAGCTCACTCCCTGATATGACAGAGCATTCTGTGAAAAGGTGGTCCGCCTGAGTGCCAGTTCACAATCACCTCTAACAGTGGCTCAAGTCAGTCGAGACTCGGCAACACTGCTAGACTTTTGTTTAATAAAATCACTCATTGGTGGAGGCGCCAGACCATGTATAACTTTGTATATTAGACAGGCAGATTTAAATAATTTGAAATTAGTAAAATTTAAAAACTTGTATTTTTCTAAAATTTGACAATGGTGATATGAAAAAGGTTTTTTATCTAATATTTTCAATGCTCTTTTGTAGCATACTTCAATTGGCCCAATAGCAGCAGAGCTCATATAGGACCAACTTGTAATACAATATTCAATATGAGCCAGTATTATAGAATGCAGGAATGTAATCACTGCTGTGTCTGTTAATGATGTGCGGATATGTCTAAAGTTCTGTATATTAACATTTACAGTTTTCACTACTTTTTTAATGTGTTTTTAAAGGATAATTTAGAGTCTAGTAGCACTCCCAAATACTTAAATTCCTCAACATTAATTAATTCTTGTGCACCCAAGCAGACTTTTACTGCAGCCACGGTTGTTTTAGGCTTACTAAAAAACATTGATACGGTCTTTTTAAAATTAAGGCACAAGCATGAGTCATTCAGCCATTTTTGTAAATCATGTAACGCCAGTGAAAGCTGATGGGCTGCATCATCAGCAGTTTTGGCTTGCATAAAAATTACCGTATGCCCACATAAGATAAGGATATCTTATGTGGGCTATCCTTAATAAAATATTTTAGGTATTGTGAAATGTAATCACATTATAGAGTCCTGGTGCATCCCTTATCTCAGGTAAAAAATAAAAATTAAAAAAAAAGAAGAAAAAAGAGAGAGAATCCCTGGAGGATTTTCACCACAGAAATATTGTCTCCCTCGGGATTTCCCTTAATGCTTCAAAACTCCCAGTGATCCTTGTCCAGGAGCCACTGGACCCCACTGACCCACAATAGGTAGCCAAAATCAAAGATTTGTATTAAAGGTCTATCAGAAAGAATGTTGGGACTCACACAACATGACACACTAAGTTCCCAGAATAGTGCTTGAATAACCTAAAAGACCCACTGTACCCCCAGTGTGTTGTAAAACAAATTCGAGGTACCCTGGAACCCAGTGGAAACTTCAGCAGCACCCCCCTTTGGACCCATTCAAATTCTTCTCAGATGCTTTGATTTATCTCCCATGGAACTTCCTCCAGCCAAACCCTGGCTCCTGTGATACCATCTCCCACCACAGCGATTGTCCTTTTATAATCACGTTTAACGCCTTCACATGCCGAAAAGAAGAAGTCGATTCCTCAAGGAAGTATTCGTTTCATGAAGCGACGCGTTTTGTGAAGAACCTGGAGTATATTTGAATTAATAATCTTTTTGATCGAAAGAGTTTTATACATCATGTGGGTTATAATATTATGTCTGAGGTCACCAGGTTCAAAACCTCAGGTTCATCACCTTTTCATCAGGCAAAATACCACTTCAACGCATCGACCACCCCTCATTGAAACTCTAAATATCAAAGCAGCGCACGAGTCCTTGAAGGCATCACCATCGCTCTGTTTAAACCTCGCCTCCTCCAAGCAGGAGAACGGACAGAGCTGCAGGTTGGAGCGGTTAGTCTTTGCACATTCATATTAATCCTACTTTATTCTTTCCAAAAGTCTTCAGACGATTGAAGTTAGCTTGAGTTTGTGTTAATGCTCAAAAACTCTGTCTGAAAAATTATTTTCATTGTGATTTAGCATCATCAAGTGGTTGAGGTAAACACATGTGCATAACTTTTGCAAAATCAACCAGATTTGTTTACTTTCGGCCACTTGGCTGGGTCTCCTGGAAACACTTAGGAAAAAGGAAAGACTCATCAACGCAGACTTTAGGAGGTGCCAGATAAGATTTTGTAGGCTTTTCGGGATGTTTCCCACGACTATCCTCCTCGCAACGCTCTGCGTTTTTGCGCATCTGGACACCTTTACGCGTGGCTGCCAGCTCCCCTCGGAATGGCGGCCGCTGAGCGAGGGCTGCCGGGCGGAACTTGCGGAGATCATCTTGTATGCCCGGGTCCTGGCAATCCACCGGGAGCCGGTGGGCGTTGGAGTGGGCAGTCTGTACAACTCCTTGCCCTTCGGGTTCGGATACGGGTACGAGGGCGCAGAGGAAGGGCTGCTGTACTCTGCAGAGGTGGAGTTGCTGTGTGACCAAGCCTGGGGCAGCATGCTGGAGGTACCCTCTGGATCCAGGCTCAACCTGACCGGGCTTGGTTACCTGTCCTGTCAGTCCCACACCGTGATGGAGAACTACTCCTATTTCTTTTTCCTCAGGTGAGGTAGAAAAAACGGTCACTTTTTATTTCAGAAAATTTATTTGATATATTTTTTTGGTTCTATTTTTATTTTTTTTTTGCAAAAAAAATGAAACCAAACCAAACCAAAAAATAACCCATAATTAAAAACTATTTCAGCTTTACCTGAATTTGTCAAATCTATTATTGTTGCCACATAAATGAAAGAGCACCTTTAAATTAACACTGTTTGTATGTAAATAATCAAAGTAGTAAAACAAATGAGTAAATACCACTTTGCAGGACTGCCACTTTTGGCTTTGGCCTTCATCAAGACTTTTTATTACTGTACACCTATCAGCTATAAATTGGAGTTATTAGCAAATGATCAGTTTATCAGTCACACAGATTATGACATCATGATGTATTTCTGTTCTCTATTCTGGCTGTTAAAGCAGACCTACTAGTTATTTTCTTATAGTATACAATACATTGGTGGATGTTCATATTGAAAATGGCCAAAGTTTAAAATAACAAGATCAGTAGATTTGCAAATAATTCCTCAGAACCAAATAGCCAGGGTTCAGAATGCTATTTCTAATAAATTTCTAACATAAATACTCATTATTTTAATTTGTGAATCATGCAAAGCTTCTCCGGTACAATCCAAGAACAAAAATATACTGGAAAGGAGCAGAGTGCATTCTTTTTAAATGCAGATTCAAATGTGCTGCTTACAGTTGTCCCCTTCATCTCCTCTGTAGGATGGATGAGAACTACAGCATCCGACCTCATGGGGTCAACTTCCAAGATGCCATCTTTGCTGACACGATTGAGAACAGACGCACGTTTTCCAGTCTGTTTCAGTTCTCCAACTGCACTCAGGGGAGCCAACCATTTCAGACTTTCAGCCCCGAGTGGGACATGCAGGAAGACAGCAGGGTAAGGCATCACTTAGTCATAGTTAGCCTGTTAAAGTGTTGTACATGAAGAAGAGAAACCAAATGTCTATGATTAAACTGACCATTGCAATCTATAATAAAAAGCTTCATCATCTTCTTAGAAATGTTGGTGGGGTTTTGCTGACACTGCAAACAAACACAAAACTATCTTGTTGTCACAGAGATAACAAATAGTCCATGGGATCATCAGGGAGCAAATGTGTTTTTATTAAATTTGATTTTTTATTGCTTTTATATATCCCCCCACCCACAAAAAACAAACAAACAAACAAACAAAAACCAAATTTATGAGCAGTACAACTTCCCAGCCAAGAGTTTGTGGAAATGGTGAGCCATGTGCCACCTCACACACACACACACACACACACACACACACACACACACACACACACACACACACAATGAATATGAGTCACAGTGAAATAAGTATTTGATCCCCAGCAACCCAGCTAGACATCTGACTCCCATGGGTGGGATTTCAAACAACCAATTAATGACACCGATTTCAGCTTGTTATTTGTATAAAGTACACCTGTCCAAAGAATCACTTTCTTCCATTCCAACCTCTCCACCACTGTGAGCAAGAGCAAAGAGCTGTGAGAAGATGTCATTGAAACCAATCTCAAGCTCTCTTGCTTCACCTGCCATGTTTGTAGAAAAAATGCTGATTATCACCCAAAAACACCATCCCCACAGTCATGCATGGAAGCGGAAATCATGCATTGGTGCTGTTTTTCTGCTAACGGTACATGATGGCTTAACATATATTAAGGGAAAATGGACAGGACCATGTACCTTAAAATCTTGGATGAGAAATCTCCTTCACTCAGACAGAACACTGAAAATGGGTCATGGATGAGTCTTCAGGCATTACAATGACCCGGAACATACTGACAAAGCTACAAAGGAGTGGCTAAACTGGCTAGGCCACTTCAAGACCTTAATGTGCATCTTCGCACACTAAGGTCATGAAGTGGCCTAGCCAGTCTCCAGACCTCAGTCCTCTAGAAAATCTGTGGAAGGACTTGAAGCTTCGAGTTACTAAGCAACTGCCAAGAAATCTAAAGGGTTGGAGAGTTTCTGTAAAGAGGAGTGGTCCAAGATTCCTCCTGAGATGTGTGCAAACCTGACCTGACCAGCTACAGGAAACATCTTACTGCTGTGCTTGCCAGCAAGGGCTTCTCCACCAAGTAGTAAGTCATGGTTATCTAAGGATCAAATACTTATTTAACTCACTGACATGTAACTCAAATTTTGCAACTTTTATGTCATGTGTTTTTGTTTGATAATTTGAATGCTTGTTTTGAACATAGGTTTGAAAATTATGTCACTGTATAAATAGTAGCTAATTCCCAAAATCACAGGCCTCAGATGGCTCTAAGGGCTCCATTCCCAACAGTTTTTTTCTAGACTTGGCTATGCATGATGTCATTGAGAGTAGATATAGTCAACTTTGATTGGACGCAAACACAGGAGCACCACTCACACGATTCTTCTATTTACAAGGGGCAGCCAATCAGAAGCAAGTTTGCTTAAAGAGCTGTTGACCTTAAAATGAAAGGAGCTATTTAAAAAAAGAGCTTCTTAGAAGAATGAGCCTAGTCAGTCCCCTGTTTCAAATAGGCCAACTTTTTGTGGGGGTTTGCAGAAAATGTAAATAAACTCAAAACCATGTTGTTACCATGGTGATAACAGATTAAGGGTGCAGACAAATAGCAGTGTGCAGGGAACTGGAAGTGGAGCAACTAACAATATTAGGGTGCTGTAGTTTCGGTAATGTTTGAGTCAGAAACTGGCAATGAATCAACCGCTGTAGCTGAACTATGTGTACGAGCAGAGGGAGGTCTTGGTTTGTGTGTGTGGACACCTAATAATGAGCTGAGTTGTGAGTCCGTTGACAGGAATGTGGGAAAGAAAGATCAGTCAAACTACCCTCTGGCACTGCGCAGAGCTGAACACACAAATACCCACACAAAATGGATTGATTCTCAGAAGGATAACAAAAATGCCCACATGCACCAACACAAAAGAATCAATTGTACTGTTAATAAAGTTTTAATATGTGATTGGCCCGACATAATCACGTCCCAACCTGTTGTAGATCAAAGCAAACTGACGAGTCGAGGTCCTTCCAGGTTGCACCTCAGGCATATCGGATACTGTCCGTGCACCCCGAGGTCAAAGATCAAATAGCAGAGATCCACGACTTTGACACCACCAGCTTGAAAGCGTGTCAGTCTGCAGCTTTGATCTGTACCAGCATGAAGCAACATATCACGCTGACCTCGGACCAGAGATGGGCTGAAGCTTGTGATGGGAGCTTTGCTGCTGGGATTCAGACATTCATTATCACATCTGCTCTGACCGATTCAAGCTCGCACCTCAAACAAGACAGGACACGGCAGCTGGAGACAAATTTACGACACGTCTTTGCTTTTATTTTGAAAAGGTACAGCTGAGTGGTTGCTGAATAGTTTTTGTGACACACCAAAGAAGAGGCCCTCACTTTGGTGTTTTAATGATGATGAAGAGCACAGCAAAGCTGGTGCCCTGTGGATGAAGGCAACATCACACCCTGGAAGAAAAAACATCCTTCAGGATGCTTCTTGAAGGGATAAAGATGATCAATTAAAACACAATTTATGGTGACATTTCACTCTTTGGCAAAGGTGACACTGATATGCACTTGATGTGCTCATTCGCTTCAAGTCTTCCTTCATATCATAACTGATTTTTTTTGTCTCAGTGTTTTGGGTGTGGGTTTTGTTTTCCTTGCATGATTTGGAAATAATGGAGATGAAAATAAGCACAATAGATCCCCTTAAAGTCAGTGCGATTTACATACAGCGTCTCTATTAGAATCATTTAATACATCCGATGGACCGTGGAGCATTACGTGGATCTTTTTCATACACTTGTATCCATTTATTGCACTCGTTATCATCATCATCTTAACACTGAGGGATGTTGTGCCTCATTCCTGGCTGACTTTTTCTCTACTGCCTGCAGCATTCACAGCTGATTTACCTCTTCAGCTTTAAATAATCTCACAGCTAATTTAGCCACAGCATTATTTAAGAGCAAGAATTTAACTGTTAAAAGGCTGCAAAGTGTGGTGTTGTAGTGCCTTCTTTTCTGTTTCTGTTCTGGTTTAAACTACAGGATCTAGCCTCTGAATTAAAGGGGTCATAGTTCAGGCAAAAAGGGGTTAAAGGTGCTGTTATTGTAGAGGAGGATTCACGTGCTCCTCTACAATAACCTTTAGGCAAGGCAGGACAAAACAGGTGTTTTGTTTGGGAATGTATATGGACACATAAAAAATGGGGAAAGAAATCTCTCTTCTTTCTCTTTTTATCCTTCTTTAATCTAACAGCCAAGAACCAAGCCTATTAATACTTTTATTATCTAAAGTTAGCTTCCCTTCTTGCATCACTCTGTGCTTTCATCCTTCAGCTGCATTTAAAGACAAAAAAAAAAAAATCCCTAAAATCAGAGCTGGGAGGAGGTTTGCTTCTGATTTCAGCTTTGTGGGAACCAGATGCCCCGCCAGAAGGATAGACAGGAGACTTCCTTCACTGCACTTTTCCTGCCAAAACCTTCAATTAGCTTTTGTTCAAAGGCTCATCTTATCAGTAGTGCTCAGAGCTGCTTTTGCCACAAGCCAGGTCAGACACTCCTGTGGGTCTAATACAGATATAATACATACATATCATAGGAGTTCTTTGATTCTTTGACAGGTCACAAGAAGGCAGGCAGATGGCTCGAACACTTCCTAATCACTTCCATATACAGCACATTTTTACTGTGTATGCATACAGAACTGGTTGATTGTACCCACGGTACGGGAAGGCAGAATTTTGAACCCTCATGCAAACCCCTTTAACAAGTTTCCTGACTCTCATTAACATTTTATGTACGTGCTTACAGAGGGGTAAAAGGGAGTGCCTGTTTCACTCAAGAGTTAGACACTAAAGCTCATAAAAAATACATTATCAGACTGTGTTTTACAGAAATAAAGGAGAAAAGTGCAGAAGCCGAGGAGAAATGCCACCCTATGGAGCACCTCTTCACCACCTTTATTTCTTTTCTGCTCTCCGTCTCTTTGTTCCTTTTGTCTCTTCATCACTTTTTCCTTTCCATTTTCTAGCCTTCCCTTCCCACGCACGCACAGACAATATAAAATCTGCACAAGGAGAGGAGAAACCTTGGCTTGGCTCTTTAACGCCAGCAGTGGAGCTCTAAAGCCACTAACTGTGTGTAAAGGTGTCTGGCCATGTGTGTTGTCTGTGTAATTGTGTGGACTCCTGCTGAGATTCTACATAAAGTTAGGGAGAGAAATCAAAAAGTCTGCAGAAATGAATGAGGAGTCAGGTCAAGCTGGGCGCAAACAAAAACACCTCTAAATTCTTTCAAACATGATTACAGCCTTTGGGGTTTTTTGTGTTTTCTTTTCCACTTTTGCTTCCATATTTGACATTGTGTCTTTTTCCTTTTACTCAAACAAATGAGTAAAAAAACAAACAAACAAAAAAAACAAGAATTTACATAAATTCCTCAAGTTTGGTCCAGAGCAAAATGTTCTAAGAGCAAGTTTAGCATTGCTAGAACTGGACTGGATGGCCTGTGGTGTCACAGTGCAAAGTATTGCAGTGACATTAAACTTGCTGTCATGAGGTTTGCATGGCTGATTTAATTTCTCTGACCTTCCTACATTTGCAGCAGTTATGAGTTATAAACCCCCAAAACCTACAGCCATACATGTTAAACACAGGACAAAGTCCGAGGAGCACATTTTTTTCAAATTGTTTATCCAGAGTTACCAAACACCTTCACCTGCTTCACTGTTGCAAATATGTTACAGACAGAATGTTCAGCAAACGCAACTTCACAAAAAAAAAAAACAAAAAACAAAAAAAAAAAACCATTATTGCAATAAAGACAGAGTCACTGACAGGTCAGACTTTTCAGTGATGACTGTGATCAGAGTAAGAACTACTTTGTTGCTTTCAGCTATTTGCAGAAGTCTTTCTTCAGAGTTTATTGCATACCTTCAGCATCAGACAGAAGCAGGGTAAGTCCATTAGTGTTTTGCAGCCCGGCAGCACTAATTACTCATGACAAAAGATCTAACACCGAGACGGGATCGATCAGAATCTAATGACAAACACCAGTGTGTCCTTCAGTCAAGTTAGCTCTCACACAGATTTAAAATCTTCTGATCCGTTCATTGAAGTTTACAAAAGCTTGCATGGATGCGTTCTAATAACGACACATAAGATAATTATAAACCGAACTACCAAAATATATCCACCATGTTAAGAAATCTCTGACTTCATGTTATTTCCAGTCAGGCAATGTCTCATTATGACATCACTGTTAAGATGTGGTACCTGCACTGATGAGCCAAAATGTCAGACTGAATCAGAACAGACTGAAAGGTTTCAAGGACCTGAAGGGTCACATGTGACCCGACCTGAAGGAAACTGCAACATAGGGCGATCAGTCATTGTAGCCATTTTAGACCACAGTTGCTGTAAATGTTAATTGTTAAATAAATAGAGTTTTGAACAAACTAAGACGACATCCCCATAGGTTCTTGCCTCCCTTTACTGACTTTTGGATACTGAAGAACCTGAATGTTTCTGTGTTCTGTCTTTCTTCACTGTGGACCTTTGTGCATTCAGTTGTCATCACATGTCCTCTAAATACTGTTTATACAGATGATGCTAAACAGCAGGCAGGTGTGACCCGGATGTTTTGACAGTTGGTGTGCGTTTGTGTGTCCGTGTGTGCTTGATGCATCCCACTGTGAAATTTCCTAAGAGAACTGAAAAGGCAAGGCTTCAAACTGTTTAAAAAAAAAGAAAAAAAAAGAATATGAATTTGACTTCAGTCTTACTGAATAGGAACAAATGCATGAAATATTTTCTCTCCCTGGTGGATTGTATCCATGCAGAGGGATTTGGTTTTATTCACATGGGTTTCTACCTTTACGCTGATAAAAAGGTAAATGGAATTTTATTGCTTGCACGTACTACAAACAACATGATCTCTTAGTCTGTGCATACAGTGCAGTATCACCATATGGCCGGGTAACATTGTCCTCGTGAGATTATCTTCATCAGTCTCAGTATGAACTATTTAGACTTTAAAATGAAGTTTAATGTAAAGGGTTTTTTTGTTTTATTTGGGTGTATTGTATTGCAAAACTAATTCCAAGAAAGGTAGTATGCCATATAAAATGTAAATACAAATAGACCCAAAGGTCCAACAACTGGTCTTCTCTGTTCCCAGACTTTTATGGACCATTGTTAAAAGAAGAGGGAATGCTACACCTTGGTAAACATGACCACCCTCCCACTAATACCCTAAGAGGCTTCTTCAGTTTGTAGTCTTTAGTCTAAGCTAAGCACTAAGCTAAAGTCCCTCCAGTTTTAGCTAACAGACACAACAGTAATGTCTTCTCAGTATTTCTTTAACATAGTTTAAGACAATTTTTCAGCAATTGTTTTCCAAAACAAATGGCACTAAAACAAACTGCATTATATGCCAAAACCATACGAGTGTCCATTTTTGCGATCCTTGGTACCACAGTACAAAACAGCAAGCTAAAAGAACAGGGGCTTGGCCTTAACCTCGACTGTGGTCATCTGAGTATGTATGCAGAGTGAGACAAATAGTGAATGTACAGTACATACTTGTAGTTCACAATATTTTTGAGTTTGTATACGTTACTTGTGATAAAGTGTGCCCATAAACAGAGGAAACCAAACCATACATTCCCACTGGGACATCAACAGCTGTCACCTTTGTGAACCCTGTCGGTTCAGGTCAGCTCTCTTCCATCAAGAACGTGCAACATTAGGGTCCCAGAAACATCAAAACATGTGACCCTTGCATAGGGATGAGAGGTCAATAGTACATTTATATTACACAGGTACCCAAACACACATGTGTTTTTGAAATGGGAGTAGAAGCCTATAGAAAAGTAAATAAGACTTCCTGCTTAGCATGTTAGGCTTGTTACAAGATAAACAACATGCACAGGAGAGAAAACACACACACACACACACACACACACACACACACACACACACACACACACACACACACGTAGAGCTCCCACTCTACACATCTAGCTGACGAGATAGCAGCTGGAAGTCTACAACAGTTTGTCAGACACTTAAGACAACAAGCCTTCACGTATGCTAACTAACATCACTTTTTTCCTCCTTACCCCCAGCTGCTGTGCTCCTCGGTGCAGGCTGCACTGTTTGAGGAGGAGGAACGAGGCCGGAAGTTGCAGGAGCGGTTGGCTGCAGCGGAAAGGAGGAACCGGCAGCTGAAGGAGCGAGTTCGCAAGGTGAAGCGTTCCTTGAGGAACGCCCGCAAAGCTGCACGCAAGGCTGAGCAGCAGGCACAGGAGCTGCAACAGAGGCTAAAAGCCTCAGAGAGAATGGCGGGACATCACCTCAACACTATAACACAGAAGGAGCCTCCACTCGGGGGTTACACAAGTGCAGCGATACGTCACAGGATGCAACTTTAAATCGTATAAGTGCCACTCACCTGGACTGCAGAGTGGTTGTAGATCTGGAGAGACTGCTGGGCGGTCTCTCTGCAAGGGACGGAGAAGTGTCACTTATGAGTAAAAACACTTTAAAAGCAATACTCTTCACAGTTGTCTTGTAAATAAACTGCTATCCCTTTTCTTTCTACCTGGAACTCCTCTAATAAACTGTGGATAAGCGTGATTCCCACTTATCTGATAAAAATAAACAGTTTTCTGAATGAGAATCAAACATTTCTCTTTTCCCACTGATTCCTTCTTTGGTTGTTCAGCTCTGCTGCCTTCATGAGTGGATTAAGTGGCAGAGCTGTGCTCATCTCAAGATGTTGTCTTGCTCTGCTCTGACACTAAGAGCAGCTGTGAGCAATAGTAACAGCCACAGTGGGAGCTTATTGAGATGTGAAGGACAATTAGTTCTCTTTGCTTTTCAGCTGTTAATTAAAACACAGTTATGATTTTCACAAGGCACCACTTTTACCTCAGTGGAAAAAACCTGCACCAGGGAACTATTTAGGGATAGAGTTCAGTTGCTTTTAAGTTTCATGCCAGAATTCCAGATAGACAAAGTTTCACAAGCTATAGGAGGTGTCAGCTTTACAATAAAGTCTATAACAAGGATTTTGGCCTCTGAGTTTCTCTGTTATAAGATCTGCATTTGCAAATGCCAAATACTGAATAGTACATATAAAAGGATGCATGTAAATTAATAGTCAAATACAAGTTCTTTACCATTTGATCAACCAATCAATTAATGAAAGCCCTGCATTACACTGACATCCTGTCCAGGCTCAGCTATGGTAGCTGAGATAGGCTTCAGCCGATTCATGGAGGGCAATAATATATTCTCTAAATGTGGTAACAGTTACTTACATATTTTCTGATCATAATGAAAACATTAGGATCGTTTTGAAGTCAGGTAAACTTTTGAAATTGGGAGAGCAATTTTAAAAACAAAGCAAAAAGTAAAGAACTACATATTTGGATACCAACTGGGTTTGAGGTCAGTCCTCATAAGATGACAGCTGATGGTTTCGAGAAGCACTTTGGCATTCAAAGCATGCTCAAAGTTCATTGATCAATACTACAATGACTACAAATAGACTACAGAGAGAAAGCCGACATTAAAAAAAACAAAACAACTTACAGTCCCAAAACTTTGTGTGCGTGCCGTTTTCACCTGCATAGGTATGCATACAGCACATTTTCAAAGCTGCTGCTTGAAAACAGCTCCTTGTTGCTTCTACACGCAGCTGCCAGTGATGCTGATGAGAACAATTACACTGAAATGAAAAATTAGAGTTGACGCCCGGAAAAATGAACTAACCGACACACCAAAGATCAAAAATATATGATCACGGCTGAGTGACGCAATAAGGTACAGCTCGTCCAATATCAGTAATGCGATGATGAAACAATTCTTGGATTTCTGAGAGAAGGCTCATTTATTTTTAATGCAAGTTAAAGTCTGTATACACAGCTAGCTTGTGAATATTTTTGTATGAATGATTTTTCTGTGGGGATAGGTTAATTGGATAACCCAAATTGTCACTAGGTGTGAATGTGCAAATGAATGTGAGTGTGAATGGTTGTCTGTCCCTGTGTGTTGGCCTTGCGACAGACTGGCGACCTGTCCAGGGTGTACCCCGCCTCTCGCCCTATGACAACTGGGATAGGCTCCAGCACCCCCCGCGACCCTGAAAAGGATAAGCGGAAGTGAATGGATGGATGGATGGATGAATTTTACTGTGTATAAAATTTTAGTTTGATGAACTTCAGAGTGGAAGTTTGAAGGAGAGAAAAAAAAATCTAGGTCACTAGAGTACAAACAACAAATCCCAGCATGAGCAAGCACACACAAACGGTGTGCTAGTTAAGCTCTGCAGTGACACACAGAGTGTAAAGAGAGGTTAAGGGTAGAGGAGACACTGTATATGTGTGTGCGTGTCTGGTCCATCAAGTGACTGGAATGTGTTTGTGTGGGCAGCAGTGTTCTGAGCAGCAGGATCTTGCTGAAATATTCCTCTGGAGGGAGGCCATCGCATCACGAGACCTCACCGAGTGGAAGGAAAACAAATCACTAAAGCAGGACATATTGAGGGGCAAGCCAGAATGGGATGTAGACGCAGGGGAGATCTTTTTCACCAAAAACTGATTCACTGTGTCTGTCTTGATGAAAAGCTTCGTGATGATGAGGTGAAGAATAAGGCAGGAGTTTATCACCTGCAGTGTAACGATTGATGAGATCCTGGGGGGGAACAAGCTTAGAAAAGGAAAACGCTCCTTTTTTGTACATCCTGCCGAGAGACTCTCAGGTAGATGAAGTAGCCATTTAAAGTGACCGTGGTTTGATTTCATGGGAAAGCTGTTGTTTGTGAAAAATGTTAAAATATTTGAACATTTTGCTGGAATATTGTATCCCTCCAGGAAGAAAGCACGTATCAAGAGGAAATGCTGTATCCAAATACATACAGTGGTGTGTGAAAGTGTTGACCCCTTCATCATTTCCGATTATTTTGTATGTTTGTCACACTTAAATGTTTTATATCATCAAACACATTTAAATATTAGCCAAAGACAACACAAGTAAACACAAAATGCAGTCAACCTTAACCCTATGTCATAGTCTGCTGTGTGTATTGTTTCAGTTCAAATCATATAGCACCAAATCACAACGGTATATTGTGAGGTAAAGACCCGACAATAAGCGAGAGAAGACCCCAAACCAGATGAAAAACAATGTGCAAGCAAAAACTCCCTTTTAACAGGACAAATAGAACCAAGCAGAACCAGGCTCTAGAAAGAGGCCATCAGCTGTTTGGGATGAGCAGGAGTAATGGAAGTGAGATACAACTACACAGGAGCATAAGACTAACTTTGAAACACAAAATACAACAGAAATGAGACTGATGAAAGGAATAGAATGGACACACACACACACACACACACACACACACACACACACACACACACACACACACACACACACACACACACACACACAATAAACCTGAAGTCACCAGTAACTTCACAGGAGACTCAAGTAACAAGACCATTACATCAACCCTAAAGCATCCAGAAAAGATAAGATAGCCAAGACTTGTAAACACAAGTAAATGGTAACAACTCTATTGACAGAATGGCACTTGATGTGCTTGCAGCAGAGCATTTTATTAAAACCTCGTGCCAACTCAAAGGAGTGGTGGTAGAAAAGTTCTAGCAGTCAAAAGTGCAACTAGGAATTCTACATTTTATCAAATTGTGCTTGAAAATGATGAGAAAGTCCATCTGACTGGACTTTTGAACAAGCACAACGAAGAAGAAATGGCTCAAAAGGAAGAATAATGATGTTAAAGGCCAGATCCAAATCTCTTTGAAATATTGTGACAGTGGTGTTTGCTTATTCTTAAACATCTTGCAACTGAGTGGTCAGGTTTTAGCTACCAAAACTCACATACAATTAATCATTTTACAGGATTAAAAAAAAAAAAAAAAAAATGAAATTTAAAAAAAAAAATGTTTAAATTGTTTTACAGCACACATTTTGGCTTGTGATGAGTGGAATTAAAGCGCCGTTGTTCCCTTTAAATGTCACAGTCGACATACGTGACCTGTGCTTTCTCTGATATGTTAAAAAAAAAATGCAAAACTTTTGCTGGTTTGTAGGTGAATCCTTCCTTAGTTATGCTGTAATAGGCGTAGGTGTTATGAAATGGCTGCGTGCAAGCAGGAAAAGGACCCAAAGTGCAGAATCCGGAGACAAACATAAACTCAAATGCTGATCTTAAACAGACAAAACTAAGAATCCAAATAACTTACACATGCAGACAGAACACACAGCATATATGATGGTGGATAAGGGAGATCACAACATAGACACAAAGAAACACGGGGCTTAAAAAATACAGAGGGAGCAATCAGGGCTGACGAGACAAAGGAAGCAAAACCAGACGCATTAACATGAGACACGGACTTTCAAAGTAAAACAGGAAACATAACACAGAGACGCAGACTTGTCACAGGGATTCAGCAACTATGGAACAGAAGAGAAACCAGAAGGCACAACTCTGACAAAGAAACCAAAAGACTAGAAATGATAAATAAAGGCAAAAACCAAAGTACAATAATAATGAAAACTCTAAACTCTGGGTCAACGACCCAGGCACCCTAACGGTAGGCTGCTGGGGGATTCCCATGATGCATTGAGTTTTTCTTCTTCAGTCACCTTTCTCACTCACTATATGTTAATAGACCTCTCTGCATTCAATCATACTTGTCATTATTATTATTATTGTTATTATTATCTCTGGCTCTCTCCCACAGCATGTCTTTCATCCTGTCTTCCTTCTCTCTCCCCAACCGATCGCAGCAGACGGCCTGGTTCTGCCGGAGGTTTCTTCCTGTTAAAAGGGAGTTTTCCCTTGTCACTGTCGCCAAAGTGCTTGCTCATAGGTGGTCATTTGATTGTTGGGTTTTTCTCTGTATGTATTACTGTAGGGTCTACCTTACAATATAAAGCGCTTTGAGGCGACTGTTGGTGATTTGGTGCTATATAAATAAAATTGAATTGAATTGAATTGAAGGGGAAAACTATTTTTTGAAGGCTTCTTTTAATGGCATTTCTTTTTTCATCTGCAGAGTCTTTTTCAAAGAAGGAATCAATGTTTCTTTTGCAATATGTCAAATCATGAGTAGGCTGTTGAGGTGGGAGTTAGGGACTTATCTACCTCATCATGCAAGAAATTAAAATGCCCCTCTCCGTGTACAATCACAATTCCACAAAAGTTGGATTGCTGTGTAAAATGTAGATAAAAAACAGGGTGCAATCTTTATCAAATCTCATAACACACATTTCATTAACGATAGAACCTAGAAAACTGACTGGTTTAAACTGACAAAGATTTTTAAAAATGAGGTCATTTTGAATTTGATGGCAGCAACATGTCTCAAAAAATTGGGACGGGCCAACAAAAGGCTGGGAAAATGAGTGACGCTACAAAGAAAAGCTGAAGGAACAGAATTTAGGTTAAACAGCAACAGGTCAGTAACATGATTGGATATAAAAGAACATCTTAGGGAGGCAGAGTTTCTGAGAAATGAAGATGGGCTGAGATTCACCAATCTGCAAAAACTTGCAACTACAATTTGTGGAACAATTTGAGAATAATGTTTCTCAATATAAAAATGTGGAGAGAATGCTAGAAAATATCTTTACTGAAACCCAAAATCTTTTTCTATTATCGTAAAAGACCTTTTAGAATCATCTCTGGTGTAACTATGGTGGTGCAATATGATTTTCAACTTTGTTTGGTTGTTAGGGGCAGTAAAAGGAAAATATATGACTTCCCCCCCCTGCTGTTTGCATCCAGAGCTGTCAACCCAAATGACACAGATGATCTTTGCACACAACACGCCACAATCCCGCCTCCATTTCCTGCGACAGTGCTATCTCTTCGTTTCAGATGATCTGCCTGTCATTAGCTTTATAGAATACGCACGATTTGCCGCTCAGCAAAGAACAAAACAAGCAGCGAGCCAAGAGGAGAGGAGAAAACCCAGCAGTGAGAAATGTGATGAAGAAGAGGATGCCTTACAGAGAAGTGGCGAGGAGGGGGGAGAGAAGTGCTGAATTATAGA